CACAGACACAGACACGACATAACANATATATATATATATATATATATATATATATATAGGGGGCACGGGATTGTGTATTCTTGTGGGCAAGAGATTGCATGCATTTAAATATGTGCAAGACACCAGAATTGTACTCGGCCAGAGGTTGTGTATAAAACGGATTGATTAACCGAGTTCGTTGTAGGATGCATAGTAGGCAGGATTATGGTGCCACAAAGTCTACGCTCGGAGACAGTATTACCGTAAAAACATATATGCGTATGTAGGGAGTCGTTCGGAATACTGACCACTCAAAACGAATACTTACAGATGCTCTTACATGTCTAGTGACCCTATAAATATGATAACCATACCTACACCCATCATACGCCTACCTCCACATGAATCTATAGTGGTGGAATATGGGGCTATGTTGTAGCCTACCACGGGTAATTCGATATGGTTAAACGAGACAAAGTAAGATATATAATACACAACGCCACTTGTACTCAACCACATACATACCTGACTCCATGGTCGCAGCCGCCAACGGTACCATCAACAAACCTCTTGCCTTCTGGAATAGCTTACGAGTGTGTGCCACACCACTATTACTAATCAGCGCAGAGCCTACCGACTTTACGTTTACCGCTGCTGTTGTACCAACAGATAGTATGCGTTGGTTATGCTGCTTCATATTCAGGAGAATGTTGGCCAGGCAGGACTCGTACGAGGAACCGCCCAGAGAAAGACTCGGTATCTGTGACGTGGCTGCAAGGAGCGCAAAAGAATATGTGAATGTATTGTTTCCAATCGTTTAAAATGAATATATGTATCAAGTTCATATATTGATGTGTCAATATATTCAAATAAATATATGTGATATGTTCATATATTAAAACTGAAATTCACACGCAGTCTTCTAAAAACCATCTTCACCCGCGATCAGAGTGCTCTAAATAAAATGACTGCTTTGTGAGTTTGTAATTCACGATATATAAAAATATAATGATTAAAGTATATATATATATATATATATATATATATATACAACATACATACATACTATATATTATACATACATACATACATACACTACCATACATA